TGGCTATTTTTTGGTTGCAGCCATTATTGTTGTTTGGCGGGCCCCAGTTGGATTCGAACCCGCCACCTTAGGTGTATGTGGCTGGCTCCTTAGCCACTTGAGCCACAGGCGCCGAGCCCAGCTATTTTTAGAGATGGGGGGGTCTCACTCTTGCTCAGGCTGGTCTCGAACCCATGAGCTCAGGGAATCCACCCACCTCGGCCTCCCGGACTGCTAGGATTATAAGCTTGGGCCACTATGCCTGGCCTAGATATGTTTAACTTTGTAACAAACTTCTAAACTGTCTTCTAAGGTACCATTTTGATTCCCACCAGCAATAAAATTCCTATTGCTCCACATCTTCACCAACATTTGGCATTATTGTATTTTGGATTTGGGTCTTTCTAAGAAATCTGTAGTAGTATTTCACTGTTTTAACTTGCATTCCCTAATGACAAATGATGTGGAGCATTTCTTCAAATGCGTTTTGTCATCTATGTATCTTCTTTGGTGAAGTATCTATTCAGATCTCTTGCCCATTTCTTAACTGCATTGTTTTCCTATTGAGTTTTAAGAATTCTCTGTATATTTTGAATCAAGTTCTCTATCACATACGTGTTTTGTAAATATTTTCTCCCAGCCTGTAGCTTTTCTTTTCCTTCTTTTAATTGCTGAATATTTTGAATTAAAAAACTTCTTGGTAAGCTTTAATAATATACCTGCTTAAAAACCATTAAAGGGTATCAATTCAAGACTGCTGCCTTGCGAATTACCAAAAAAAATATATATATCCCTCTGGAAAAGTGCAGAACCAGGCCACGTATGGATTTATAAGGTATATGGATTTCAGCCCCTACCTACCCTTGGCTAGTGACTTTGTACCAGGCATAAACTATCAAACCAAATTGGACAATCTCCACTGTTCTTAAGTGTATCTTTCATATACTTTAAAATCTTCCACGATGGGATTCTTGCTTACCCTCCAGTCATCTCTCAGCCTTCTACTTTTCCTCTGTACACCCACAAGAGCCTCATCTCAGCAACCTTCAGGAGCTCTACCTCCAGCCCCAAGGCTTTCTTATGTTTCCTCTGCCAGTGTGGCAGGGAGCCGCCCCACCCCTGCCCCCTCCCCCCAGCCGTGATCCTCACTCCCTGGTATTCATAGGTCTTATGTGGTCCCCTCCTTTTGAGAGTGGGTTGGAACTTGTGACTTGCTTCTAATCAATAGAATAGAGCAAATGTGATGCAATAGCAGTTCTAATATTAGGTTGTTATTGTAATTTCTGTCTTTCTTGCACACTTTCTCTCCCTCTCTCACTTGCATGCTCTGAAGAAGTCAGCTGCCATTCTGTGGGCTATTTATGGAGAGGCTCCGGTGGCAAGGAACTGAGGAAGGCCTTGAGCCAACAGCTTATGAGGTACTAAAGCCTTAGTCCAATAGCACTTGAGGAAATGAATCCTTCCAACAACCACTTGAGTCACATTGAAAGTAAATCAACCGGCTCGGCGCCTATAGCTCAACTGGCTAAGGCGCCAGCCA